AAAAAAAAAAAAAAGAAAGAAAACAATTATTATGAAAAAAATTTACGAATGTTAGAAAAAGAATTACGTGGAGTATTTGGCATGTTTTTGCAGCTAAATGTATCAGTAGCTCTCGTCTTCTTTTGCAGGTTTCCAGGCCACAATCAGTGCTCCACACATGGTAAGTTAACTTTGGTCATTTGGGTACAGATGGATCACATTTTTCCTTTAAGATCGTTTTTTTCAGTGAAAAAGGTTTAAAGAAACTTTTAAACTTTTATCAATTTTATCGTCTATGAATTATGTAAATTGATAATGAGTGTCTTATTCTTAATGCATGGCATATAGAAGGAGCTCTTCATGGTATAAACTATCATTAAAGCTTTTGCAGGTTGTCTTTAGTATCTAATCCTGTAAAATTGGATATAAAAGGTTATTTAGTGATGAGACAATTAAGGGAGAGAATATTTTAAGGAATATAACAGACATAGAAATCTCAAGTTGACTGTTATTTCATATTTTATTTGGAAAATTCACTAGCCACTAGTCAAGTATAGCGGCTATGAAGCTGTATAACTTTGAGAAGGACCTATTTTAAGTTATCTAGCACGTTTAATCTGTTGGGAATTTTCTTGAGTTTTAAATGTCAGTTATTTGAATGAGTCCTCTGTTGATTGTGAAAAGAACAATAGCTTTTCTGATTCTCTGCAAGTATTTGGGGTTGGAGAAGCTCTTATTTAAACTTAAAGCCTTCTGTATACTAAAATAAATTCTACACATATAGTGAACTGATAATTATACCAGAAGAAAAATGTAGGAAAATTATTTATAAACATTGAATAAAAATGACTGGTTAAAATATGAAAAAAAGGGGCCGGCCCCATGGCTTAGCGGTTAAGTGCACATGCTCTGCTGTTAGCGGCCCAGGTTCGGATCCCGGGCGTGCACCGACGCACCACTTGTCTGGCCATGCTGAGGCGGCATTCCACATACAGCAACTAGAAGGATGTGCAACTATGACATACAACTATCTGCTGGGGCTCTGGGGAGAACAAGGGAAAAAAAAGGAGGAGGATTGGCAATGTTAGCTCAGGGCCTATCTTCCTCAGCAAAAAGAGGAGGATTGGCATGGATGTTACTCAGGGCTGATCTTCCTCACACAAAAGAAAACAAAATGAAAAAAAGACTTAGAAGCCATTAAAAAGCCTAATATATTTTGCAACATAAAAATTTGGGATTTCTGCAGAAAAAAAAATGTTATAAGCAAAATTAAAAGAAGAAAAATTGAGGGAAATATTTGTAATACATGTGACGGCATAGGGCAAATTTCCGTGTATATATACAAATATACCTACATAGGTGTGTGTATCCTGTAAATTAAGAAGTAAAAGACCAGTATGCCCAAAAGAAAATGGGTAAAGTACAAGGATGATAGCTCATAGAAAAAGAAATACAGATGACATTGGTGTTTAAACAAATGAAAAGATCTTCACTTCTATTTAGTAAATTGCAAATTAGCACTACAGTGAAGTACCATTTTTCACCCATCAGATTAAAAAGTTTGATACTTTGTATTGGAAAGGGAAACTGGCAGTCACATACTTTTTATGATGGGAGAGTAAATTGATAGTGTTTTTGGAAGACAATTTGGCAGTATCTACAAAATGTGAAATAAATATACCTTTAGGCTCTCCAGTTTTATTTCAAGATATTTATCCCATGGTATATTTGCACAAGTGCAAAATGACTAAAGATGTTCATTGGCACATTATTTATAATAGCAAAAAAAACCCAAACAATCACTAATAGTCCACTAATAGTGGATGGTTAATGAGTTATAGTACATCCATTGGGTGAAATACTGTGAAGCTGTTAAATGAGGCAGCTCTTTAAGTACGAATATGGCAAGATCTTTGAGAAACACTAAAAGTAGAGTGCAGATGAGTATTTAGAGTGTTCTGTAATTTTAAAAAACCACACATAACACTCATACAGACACGTAGATGTCTTCCTGTAGGCATGAAAACTAAGAATGATTTCTTTGAAAGTGAGAATTAGATGATTGGAGGGGTAGGAGTGGAAGTGAGATCTGCTTATCACTCTATACCCTCTCTATGTTATCAATTTCTTTTTTCTTTTTCTTCTTCGTTTTTTTTAAACCATGGAATAGGAATGGCTTTTTCGTGCACTACCTATTCAAAGAAATTAATGATTTAAAAAAGTTATAGTCTCAAGATCCCCGGAAGCACTTTGAGCTACTACTTAAAACGAAAGGTTTATGTAGAAGCATTCATTTAATCCTAAAAGTTATTTTGGAGAATTGGTACCCAACATGTTTGGGAAGTTGGAGGGATGTGTCTTCAGATATTAAGAGAAATACTGCATGAATTTTTTTTTTCTCCCTGAAGTTTGGTGGTGAGTGCCCAGTTCACTGCCAGACAAAACATGGCAGTAACTCCATGGCAAAGGATGCATTTTTTAACAAAAATGACAGCTTTATTAAGATATAATTCACATACTATGAAATTCCCTTCTCTACAGTTCTCTGGTTTTTAGTCTATTCAGAGTTGTGCAGACATTACCACTATCTAATTTCAGAACATTTTCATCATCCCCAAAAAGGAACCCTGTACCTGTTAGTCAGTTCCCATTCTTTATTCTGCAAAGGTCCTGGCAACTACTTATCTGCTTTTTGTTGCTATGTCTCATCTCAACATTTCACACAAATGGAGTCATACAATATATGGCCTTTTGTGACTGGTTTTTTATATTTTGCACAATATTTTCAAAGTTTATCTATGTTGTAGCATGCATCAGTATTTGATTTCTTTTTATTGCCAAATAATATTCCATTACGTGGATATACCACATTTGGTTTGTTTGTCAGTTGATGGACATTTGGGTTGTTTCCACTTTCTAGCTACTAAGAATAATGCTACTATGAACATTAGTATATAGGTTTGTGTGTGTGTACATGTTTTCAGTTCTCTTGGGTATTAGAAGTAGAATTGCTAGATCATATGGTAATTCTGTGTTTTACATTTTGAGGAACTGCCAAACAATTTTCAAGATGGTTCCACCATTTTACAATCCCACCAGCAATGTATGAGGTTTCCAGTTTTTCCACTTCCTTGTCAACACTTGTTATTGAATGTTTTATTTTATTCGTCCCAGTAGCTGTGAAGTGGTATCATATTGTGGTTTTGATTTGCATTTCCCTATTGATAATGATGTTGAGCATCTTTTCATGTGCTTATTGACTATATGTATATCTTGTTTGGAGAAATGTCTAGTCACATCCCTTTCCATGTCTTGGTTGGGTTATTTGTCTTTTCATTACTGAAAAGGGTGCGTTTTAAAATTTTTGTTGTGGTATAATGCACGTAACATACAATTTACCATCTTAACCATTTTCCATGTGTGCGGTTCAGTAGGGGTAAGTACATTGACATTGTTGTGCAGCCGATCTCCAGAACTCTTTTCATCTTGCGAAACTAAAACTCTGTACCTGTTCAACATTAATTCTACCCCCAGCCCCTGGCAACCACCATTCTGTTTTCTGTCTCTATGAATTTGACTACTCTAGGTACCTCATAAGTGGAATCATACAGTATTTGTTTTTTTGTGAATGGCTTATTTCACTTAGCTTGATGTCCTCAGGGTTTATCTGTATCATAGCTTGTATCAGAATTTCCTTCTGGAAAGGATACATTTTTAATCACTTACATTTTCTGAGTAACTTATGTTTCTTTTTTTTTTTTTCCCCTCCCCAAAGCCCAAGTAGATAGTTGTACGTCGTAGTTGCACATCCTTCTGGTTGCTGTATGTGGGACGCGGCCTCAGCATGGCCGGAGAAGCGGTGTGTCGGTGTGCACCCAGGGTCAGAACCCGGGCCACCGGTAGCGGAGCGCGCGCACTTAACCGCTAAGACACGGGGCCAGCCCAAGTTATGTTTCTTAATAAGGAAAATGAGTGTGTGTGTATAGTCACAGTGCATCTGTATGTATGAGTATATAAACAATAAGCATACAATGTCCTTTGATGGCTGCTGAACCAGGATGTGAATAAGATAAAATAGCATTAATTGTATTATATGGACAAGCAGTTGTGATCTTGTATCATTTATTGCATAGATCTTAGAAGTGTTAAAAGAGAAACACAAAGTGAAGAGCAAAGAAACATGACTTCTGCATTTATTAAACCTTAAAATCACAGGCTTGGGAGTAACTACAACCCTGGAATATTTTCCGAAGTCTTAATTAAAGAAAAATGAGATATATACAGTGAGCAGGAGATTAAAAGCAACTGTTAAAAATGGCATCCTGGTAGCAGTGAGCACACTTAGCATCCAGATATTGAATCCTAAATACCATTTCTCTCTAGAAGAAACTAGAGCTCCTTGGAGAAGTGACAGATGTTGGAAAGTAAGCAGGTACTCAAAGGCTAATGGGGTAATGTCAGAAGGACATAGGAGCAGGTTTGAAGAGACTCCCAGAGGCCAAATTAGAGACAATTTGAGAATCAAAAAATGATAGATAATGAAGATAATCGATTGTAACAGTGAATTAAGAAACAAAATCCATGAGTCCATAAAGATTAAAAAAAAAAAAGCAAGACAGGGAAAAAATGAAAAACAGAAGAATGTCAATTAATAAATGTGGAAGGAATAATAGAATTTAAAAAATCACTATTTTATAATTATCAGTGTAATAATTGAATTAGGCAAAGATCAGTTAATCTAAAACCATTAAGAGGAAGATTGTTGGTGAACAGAAATATTCATGTGGTCTCAAATTATTATTGTACATATTACCTATTAATTACAAAGAGAAAAATATGCCTCGAAAATAGAGTGATCTCGTGGTCACCACATTTACTGAGTTTTTGAGCTTGGCAAGTCCAGGAGTAAGATGGTCCAGTGATAGGTGCTTCCTGGTGTGGTGCAGTGGGAGGTGCCCAGCAAGCCCTGTGTGCTGTTCTTGCTACAAGTCTATGGTCTGAATCTAACCGTGAGGAAATTGGCACATGTAGAATGTGGGATATGATGTGGACAACCGGAAGGACTCCTTACAGGAGTCAGTGTTCTGAAGAACAGAGACAAATGGTCGTTGGAGGAGAGTTGGGAGAGAATATTCTACACTGGCAAATGTAATGCATGAACCTTGAGTAGATTGGGGAAAA